TTTCCAATCCTTGCCCATTGTCAGGAGGCTTCTTGACAATCTTTTATTCCATTTGATTCCACTTTAATTTGCTAATGGTACAGATAATTCCAGTTGTATGTTTTCTTCTGGAGAATCACAAACTCGTAGAAAAAATGCCAAGCACAGTCGTAAATACAATTAGTTGCGCTTAAAGGAGGCTTCGTAGATATACTAGAAAAAACCTAATGCAAGTATTGCCAAGAAAATGGTAATCTTTTTTCTTATGAGTTTTAACGATTAAACCTGATAACGCTGACATCATACTTCTCCTGGTAAACCTACCTGTATGTACCTATAACCATGCAATGTCCTCGATTTGTCACGATCACGAGTGAAATGAATACTCACATAAGTTTTCCATCATTCTTACCTACGAGATGATTCATCATCCATGACATATTTTCTTAATAAGTTAAATAATAGTTTTGTCCGCGACTTCTCATTTACGCACTTCTTATTCAGGTACTAATCCAACAGGAACAACAATTGGGTGAATTTAATACACAAATATAATGTAAAATTTCATGACTGTCGGTTAAGTAAAAGGATGAAAGCGTAACAGATAAGCTTACTTCGCTTTCACTTTTATAATATTAGGTGCGATTATGCTCTTAGTGTTGAGACCTGTTTTATTTATGGACCATTAACATAAATTAAGCTTAAATTAGACCACGCTATGTAAATGAGTACCTGATATATCAGTTTTATTAAATAACTAGCTGACCGGCGCAACTTCGTCTGCGTCTCTCAATAGTAATAAATTTTCTCCGTTTTTGAAACATTCTTCATTGGTGCTCCGCTCCTATTGGTCTTAGCGTGATGATATATAGCCTATAGCCTTCCTCGATAAATGGGCTATCTAACACTGAAAGATTTTTTCAAATCGGACCAGTAGTTCCTGAGATTAGCGCGTTCAAACAAACAAACAAACAAACAAACAAACAAACTCTTCAGCTTTATAATATTAGTATAGATTCAGACCCAGAAGAAATCAACTATTGAGAATTTTCAAATTTATTCAAATTTAAAACTAATGGTTATCTTAATAATTCAAAGTAAGAATACTTCCTCAACAAATTATTGCAGCGCGAAAAACCACATTGTGCCGCCATGTTTCTTTTTGATCCCAAATACATGTGTGTAGGTTTTATTATATATGTATAAACAACACACACATATATAATGAAACCATATTGTATTGTTGTTCAGTATGATGTACTTACTCATCTTTCGGAGCTCCGTTACGGAGTAACTCACACTTTTAGACTTGTTTTGGTACGATAACGATAAGTTTCATACTTAATTTTATATACAATATAGCTATGTACATACGGATTTGTTAAAAAAACGTAATTAATTTAAAGTCTAGCCAGTGAAAAAAGGAGGTCAATTAATTAAATAAGGTATTACATACACGATATTTACAAACATTGCGTTTGTTAGTAAACAATAATCAACTGTAAAATATTCATTGTGTTATCCAACTATTTTGTTCAATGTCTAGAACTCGTACAACTGTCATATTTTATACTACTGGAGTATTTTACCTCTACAATTGCATGTTGATTGTACGGTAACCATCTAAAATTGAAATGTCGAAAATCCACCATGTTACATATTTAAATCAATTTCTATTTGTATCCGCCCTTGCCTAAACAATCACAGTTCCTGTCAATCATTTTTAGGGAAATATAACACTTTATTAAAATAACAAATAGAACAGAAGTTTTGAGATAATGGGAAGCCAGACACATTATGTAGAAAAATAATTATAAACCGAGGAGTGGTTTTTCCTTCAAGGTTACATAAGTTACTTGTGTTTTTCCCAGAGACTGAAAGTTAAGGAAAGAAAATAAACGTTTTTATAAATTGGTGAGAAATGTAACTTCCAGATTATAAATATATCATATAAGTGGAAAAGTAATGAGGGGGGAAAACCTTACTGATGTCTACCATAATGAACTGTGGTTGGCTAGTTCACCACCGTCTCAAAATCTTTATAGGCATGTGTGCACTATGACATACACCTATATAAGTAATGGCAAACGTTTACAGACATTAAATAGAGCATTAGATGTAATTGATCTCTTTTTGACCGAATTACGAAAAGGCTCTGTTTTGGACTACCATTTTTTATGTCTATTACCGCAAATCTCCGTCCTTAGCGTACTGTTTGGTAGAATTCAAATTTGAAGAAAAACTATCACCTCTAAGGTTAGGGAATGAAGAGAACAGTTTACAATTCATCATGATGTTAGGCGAATTGAAGTGAATGTATAATTGTGTGCAACAGAACCATTAAAGTTTACGCCGTTTAAGAAAACACACTTGTCATTCTAAATTATTCACAAACGCTTATTTCGTGACGTGTATTATGAAATGAGAGTTTGTAAAACATTTGTGAACAGGACCAAAGAGATATTGTTTATAAACGTCTCGATTATTATATCAAAAGTTCGACGGACGGAATTGTTTTATAACAGTACATTACTTCGAGAGTTAAAACCAATTCTAGACGGAGTTGTCTCGATTTGTTAATTGAAAACGATTCGCAACTTATCGATTTGTTTACGGTAAAGTTATTAAGGATGTGACACCGTTCAATTGGCGACGTGGTACGACGAGAGTCCGTTAACCGGTAAAATGTAGATACGGTTTTACTTGCACTCCAGCACTGACACTAACGAGTTCCAACACATATAGCCGATGTAACTGGATTTATTTGCATTAACTTCTCTACAATTAAATGAAACGATATTTTAAAAATTGTAATCTGGCTTTGTCTGTAATATTTTAAACATATCAAATGTACTTCTAATTAAATTCCGACATAGTTCAACATATCGCAGGATCGACCTACTGAAGGTTTTCATTGAACATAGTTGTGTACAGAAATCAAATAAGTCGCGGCGAGGTTGGGTATGGTAACAGTAAAAGTAATGGAATGCGCTATTTCCGCAGTTAGACTCATAGCCTGTTCATTGCACGTTTGGATAAGGCTGACTAGTAGCCAGTAGGCAAGCTTAGATCCTAATAGGAGGGCAGAAGCCACTTAGGGCGTTAACAGGCTTTTATATTTGATACTTGTCGTTGTGTGACCAATCTCTCACACTCCAGTTTAACGTGGGCAGCTGTTTCCTAAACATTTAGACATCTACTGGCTATCTTATTAACAGTGAATATATATAGAAGTGGAGATGGTATTTGGAGTAAAACTAACTTGTGTTGATCACAAGTAAGACGGGCCAATACTTTATTCTTAAACTAGATTAAATGAAACCTTGTAATTTAGCTCCTCGAATGTGTAATGTATATATTATATGTAGACAATTAGTTCTTGAATTACTGTTAGTTAGTTTTAGTTTGTTGCTCCTGGAAAAAATTAAACAATAATGACATCAATTGGAAATTTCCTCCCAACATTTTATTAGGATGCCGTATGTCGCTCATCTCTAAATACAAAACCATCAAGTAGATTGACCTCCAAAACAGGACACACTAACCAATTTTATACGAATGTTCACATTTGCCATATCCATATTCACATGCGTACGTCATCTACCTAAGCAACAAGACGAACTGGTTCCGTATGTGATATAATAACGTATCTGCATCTTAAACCTGATCCACCTACCACTTTTATGAACGTGACTGTAACTCGAATCAAATCACGATTGACCTGCGTGCAATACAGGTTTTTTTCTTCATGATTGTGGATTTTCTTCGGTTTGGATATATTGGTTTGTTAATTTTAAGTTCTCTTTGCCTTTGAATTCTAGCTTCATAGTTTTTATTCATTAGTTTATATCAATAATAGGAATAAAAGTATATTTTTTACATCCTTACTTTGTAATCAGTGTCATGTAAAGAATTGATATTTTTTTAAATTTATATATAAGATTAAAAGTTTGTCAGTTTTTTATTAAATAATTTGATGTTTTGATATGATTATGAGATACAGATTAGTAATGACGTCATATTGTTATGCAGCATTTTTTAAGTAGGTATAAACACGTTGATCAATCATTAAATGTTATTTTGCAGACATAAAAATTATTGTAGGTATCATTAATATCTGTCAAAATTTTCTTATCCAACACGTCGTTTGTGCATTCTTTGTTGTGAAAATTGGTCTTTTTTAGACTACCTCAATTATTTTTATTATAAAGTTGACGAAAACTATACACAAAGTGGTTGCAATAAAATCTTTTATTGCAACCACATCTTTTATTTATAATGACGGCAAAAAATTGCAGAAATAGTTTCAATTGTTTATTTATCCTATTTTTCTCAACAATGTCTTTTTTGTGCGGGGTGGTTTAAGTATTGCTGTAATGATTTGATAAATACAAAATTATACCGAAAATGGTTTAAGTCAAGTTAAAATAATAGTACTGATTATGACATGATAACGTTATGTGTAACATTGAAGAAGTCCATTTATAAATAAGGAATGTAATTGACGAATTACAAATTGTTTTTTTTGCCGATTCAAATTACAGAAAGGCCCTTATGTAATTCGTGGCGCTAACAGCTCTTGGTGTAAAACAACGAAACTGCCCATTAGGTTACAATGGACTTCTTCGATTGATATTAAATCCATAGCAAATATAGTATTAAAGTTCTAATAAGGAAGATTACTTCATTTCCCTAAAATAATTACATGCACTTAAGGTAAATTGTATACCAAAAAAATTAAGGATTGTATTGTACAAAAACGCCCTGAGCCATGTCAAATTAAGTTGTTATGCTAAATAATAAACAAATTTAGTGTTACGACTACATTTCCTATTACGGTGTTCTTTGGTATTATAAATAAGTGACGTTAAACTATTAAAGGCATTTAATATAATTCTCTAGTCTTTTAAATACCTACTAATTTGTTATTATAAATCACTATTAATTCCTTAAACATATTTAGAACGTAGCTGTTTTTTACTTTAAAACGGTGCCTTAAAGTTGATTTTTATTTGTTTCAGATGCCCCAAATGATGCGAATTACATGATATGTGGTGTCGTGATCGCTATGGCGCTCGTTGGACTGATAATAGTACTGTTGGCTCTCACAATAAAGTAAGTACATTTTAGTCATGTTATATACCGAGCCACTAGACGAGGCGAAAGATTTTGTTTTCATTTTGATTTAATAGCTAATGTGAATTCTATTAGCAAGGCAACAACATTCAAATTCTTATTAATGTAGTAACCACGCGGATACTGCGGCGCGGACAGATGCCGCTCGGATATTACGAGGTCGACGTGCTGCTGCCGCATGTCGACCATGATCTTACATTGTTCCCTCCAATTTAAAGCGTAGTGCCCAAAAAATAGAACATATTTTGCTAAAACAATGCTGTCTACATTTTAATTTGGAGTGAAAATGTACACGCGCCCTAAATCTTCCTTAGGGTGTGTGTATATGTAGTGTCGTATGTCTGATGGGTAGTAACGTCGGTGTCGGTAGTAACATGGTGACGCTGATAATAGAGTAGCCCAATTGATTGTTTGAAAACATGTTAAACAATGGAGCTAATTCTGTTGTTCGAAAATTCTCTAAACTAAACTAAAAATCACTAATAATTTGTTTGGTCCTGCCAAACAACGTTTCTTTTTCTGAAAACGTAGTACTTGACAGGACTAAACTATTTTTTTGTGATTTTTAGTTTAGTTTAGATAGTTTCCGAACAACGGAATTAGCACCATTGTCTCGAGCGATTGGCAATGCATTCACTTGTAATAAGTTTCAAAGTCCACAAAGACACCGTAACCTTTATTTATCTTACTTCATATCGAGAATTCATAGATAACGAAATCATTTTCCATCTCCTAAAAAAAGTAAATCTCCTTATTTCATAGCAAAGAAACTTTCAGGAAGAAGAACCAGATTGTGTAGAAACAATAAATCTGATTTAGCAAAACTAAAATATATACGCTGAAATGGCAAAGCGAATTTATAATTTAACAAGAGTTCCACTCTTAACCTTCATGGTTAATCATCAGACTATTCTCAAAAAACTTAATCTTATAGACTGGTGGACTTAAATAGACCCACTATCCATTTCTTGACTAAATCATCTTCAAGATTAAAAAAGGGAGGAAACAAGTTTGGGCTCCCGTAAACTTAGTCACGTTTGAGTTAAATAACTTAAAAAAGCACAAATATAAATGGTTTCCATTTTTCGTGATTAGGACATAATAATTTTTAATTTTTATTTTAAACTTTATTTTATTATGATTTTGGCGCCCCCTGAAACTGCCGCCCGGAGCGGTGCCCTCGTTTGTTCACCCCTAGATCCGGGGCTGCTTGATTAACATCGATTTCCTGTGAGGCCGTGGGATCACACGGGTGAAGAAGCGTGGCTTTCCCACGTAATTTTAAATTTGTTTTCATTGTTAGTTAATAATAAAACTGTGTTCAAACAAAAACTGAAAGTTGTCTGACCAGAAATGATTGCGAAATTATACCACGTATATACCTAATGTTATCAATATAGTTGCGAAGTCCATTATGTTATAACAGATTATTTCACCTTCCTGATACGCACCTCCACCTATTGAAGTCAAGTGACGAGTTAGACGTAGAATCTTATATGACAGAACTAATCAGCAGCTTGCCGAACCTGAAGTACCTGATTATTATTATCTGAATCTAGCGCCAATGATTTTATAGAAGTTATGAAACAAATTATCTGTATTTAAAGATGGTGTAGACACAAGTGTACTAGCTAGTACAATTTTTAAAAGTAAGGTCTACGAAAAGCAGTTTCAAATTAAGGAATCTTTCATGCTATATCAGGCCGAAGACAGCCCGTTTTCTGTCTTGTGGATGGTAAATTAGCTTTTTGACGCGTACGTCGTTGTCGGTTCGGAAAGTACATAACATATTGGACGTAAAAACATATACATATGCACGTGACGTCTACATGGCACTTACACAGTATGAGTTTATATATACATAAAGTTTGTTTCGGCGTTTATTCTTCACATTAATCATAGGAATCGTTTAGCTGCAATGAACCAATCGACGTGTAAAGGTGTCTGAAAGATCATGAATCAAAAGTACAAAATTGAATTTACATTGATTAATGGAAACTATAACATCATTTAAAAATTGTTTATGGTTTTTAATTTCATGTCTGGAATTGACTTAACTGTCGGCGCTACATTATATATTAATGCTTCTTACGTAAACACCGATAAATTATGGATAGGTCTTTCAACGTATGTAAATATTGTTATTGTTAAACGTCAAAATACTTCTTAGAAATTTGTTGAAAAAAAAAACTTATGTATGTTTGTATCTATAATCGTTGGACTGCCTTCAATTATAGTTGACGTCATTGCATTAATCTCACAATTATATTGAGCCGCACACATCTGACTCAACATTAATGTTGATTGAATCTCGACAACGCAATATGTCTGTCAAAAAGTCTATTACTTATGTCGCATAAATCCGTAACAGTAATTAATATTCTTAACGACTATTTTTTGAAGTGTAACATCTTTCCAGCAATCTGTGGAAGTGCTTCCATGAAAATTGATGAAAGACTTACAGGAAGCCACAAAAGCGTGTGATATTCGATCTTATTAATTGTTTTACAAGATCACCACGTATTTCGTAGACATGGCAATTATTGATACTTTGAAATCAGATTTATTTGATGAAATGTACGGTTTTGGTCACTGTGACTTCACCTGTGAATTACAATCACTACTAAGATTTGGTTATAGACAGATTAATGCCATTAAACTCAATCAAACTGGCCTTTTTTAGATTTCTTCAGATTTAGACCTTTCGCGATTCTGGCGGTAGCGTTATAATAATAATTAGTCCCAGTGATGTAGATGAGCATCACTTGAGATGAAATTATTTTAAAATCATATTATTAATTACATGTGATTGTGATTTTATCCCATGCCTAGTATTTCGTCTTTTTAGCTTTCTCTTTTCTTCTTTCGATTACTTAGCCAACGAGGAAGTCATAAAAATTATGACCAATGATTAAAAATTAAAAAAAGCGTATTTATATATTTTTATTTAAAATTTCTCCAGCTGTATAAAATTGATGTAATTTTTTATTTTCCTTAAATCACTAATAAAAGATGATTGTTAGAACAATACAAAACAGGAGTTTACGTTTTACTTTTGCAAATAAATATCTTGCTGTAAGTGCTTGTAATTTATTGTAAGGAAACGTAAGATAAAGTTGTAGAAACGAAAGGTCAGGTTTTATTGGAAACGCCTTCGTAGATATTTTATATCGGCCACTTGCGTCTTTATCTCTCTTGTATTTAGACAAGGACAGTGATTTATAATTTTTAAATTCGAAATACTTCTATAAACGTGGAGACTTTAGTTGAAACAGAAATTTAAAGATTTTTGTAATATGGTTAAGATCAGTTGACATTAAAATGACATTACATTAAACTACATAAAATATAAGTAACACTAATAAACATAAAATAATTAATGAGCCCTTTTCAACTGAAGGTGTTTTAAATGCTCTTTTTCGAAAAGACACCGGAAGTTCAAAACAACACCTAAGCATCCGGTGTTTTTTTCTGTTTACTTATAAATTGACGTACGATTATTATCGTAACTATTAAGCCAGAGGTGGTGGCCATATAGGACAAATAATTGTGTGATAAACGTGATTACACATTTTGTATTTGGTCACCAGTCTGGTTATTATTGTACAAGCTCTGCCGAATATGGGATCAGACAGCGGTGTGTTAGATGTTTCACGTTTTTGATTTTCTTATAATAAACTTAAGATTTTAAAGCAGCACTATGTATCTATATTTAAAGAGATAATTAATTATTTATTTAAAAAACACCAGATTAAGAAAAGAAAATGAGTCATTTTAATTTAGAATTGCATGGTATAGTTACCAGCGATTTGATGACATAATAACGTCCACATTACGGTCGGAATGTCAGATTACTCAGATGATGCAACTCCGTAACGTACGTTTGCATAAAAAATAAAGTAATTGATTACATTTTGTAACACACGTGTATACGACTATACATACGCAATATTTTACGTTATTATTACACATATATTGATATACAATGTATGCATATATATATTTGGCTGAACGTAGTTTATATCCTGGCAATGTGACAGGCATTTTTGCAATTCCCTAAATTCCCAGTCAGTAATGTCATTTTATGGTGAGTATGACGTTTATCGATTGGAAAGTCTTTCTGAAATAGTAAAATCATATGAACTCGTCAGGTGAATGAATTATACCTTTATGAATAGAACAGGTAATACGTTTTAAGAATAAAAGGTTTCGGAAGAGTCTAAAAAACCTAATCCATCGCCAAGGAGGTAGAAATTTTAATACGTACCAATTCTATTAGAAAAAAATGTACAAATGTTAGTTGTTTATTGTGTTTCTGCTTAAAATATTTTATTAGATACATCCCTTTTGATAAAATACAGCGTAAAATATGAACAGAATTTAAATTAGTTGGATAATTACGTTTTATCAAGATATTACTTATCAATACAGAAATATTTCTCTGCATACTTTTCAGCTTAGAAGAAACTGCATTAATGGTATTAATTAGAATATATTTCTTGGTAAATTGTTGATGTAATTGATGCTTTAAAACAGAATACAAGCAGCGCTCACGAACTGATAGACTAATCATTACCTCAAGGTAATAATAGAACGTATCGAACATCTGTACCAGGTCACTTCAAGGATTTTGCGAAATGTACCTCGTACATTGCATTGCATTTATGCCATGTGTTTGGGTGACTCATTCAGAGCCGTTATTGATCTTTCACTGTGATTGTCTTGTCATATTTGGCCTCTAAATTTATACTTATCGATTGATCTCCACCTTTTGCTGACATACAGCTGCATGTATTAACATTCACACAGCAATGGAAGTATACAGTGTTGTGATGCTAATTAGGACCTAAGGCAAAATCTCAGTATTTTTTTGGATTGAAAGCAAGTAAATTACTGTTTGGTATTGTTTCCGTATTGATTTTATTTTATTGTTTATTATATTAATACTAGCAACCTACTCGGGTTTGCAAGAGCTCGAC